GATGTGAGCGGAGGCAGCACAGGCTTGTGTGGGCAGGGGCGGCGTTCCTGCTGCTCCTGGCCTTGGGAATGCTGTTAGCATGCTGCCAGGCTTGGCAACTCGGCTTCATGGGAAACACTGCCCACCGTGGGCACTTCTGTCCGTGGTTCTTCTGTGCCCACATCCCGTTGAACAGTCCGAACGCCGCCGTGTCCTGCCCTGTTATCTGATTGCTGCAGGGATGCTGTTTCCCAGGGAGGAAGTGAGCGACATCTCATGCTTCAGTGGTCCTGGGTTAGAGGCTTATGGCACTGAGCTGGAGTACAGCCAGTACAGTAGCACGTCTTACTTCTTGGATTGAAAGAAGGTAATCCTCCTGCTCTCCTCTGCTCTGCCCTGCTCTGCTCTGCTCTGCCCTGGTGAGGCCCCATCTGGAACAGCGCATCCGATTCTGGGCTCCCCCGTTCATGAAGGATAGGGAATTACTGGGAAGAGTCCAGCACAGAGCCACAAAGACGATTAGGGGGATGGAGCACCTGCCCTGTGAGCAAGGGCTGAGGGAGCTGGGGCTGTTTGGCCTGGAGGAGCATAGACACTTGTAAATATCTGAAGAGTGGGTGTCAGGAGGATGGGTCCATTCTGTTCTCAGTAGTGTCCAATGACAGGACAAGGGACAATGGACACAACCTGGGGCACAGGAGGTTTAACTTAAATATACTTCTTTACTGTGAGGGTACCAGAGCACTGGAACAGGCTGCCCAGAGAGGACGTGGAGTCTCCTCTGGAGACATTAAAAACCCAGGGGTGTTCTGGTGTGATCTGCTGCAGGTGATCCTCCTCTAGCCGGGGGTTGGACTAGAGGGTGTTCAGAGGTCTTTTCCAGCCCTCACCATTCTGTGTGATTCTGTAGGGGTGACCAGAGGTGCTGTGACCCACACAGAGTCAGATATTTCTAGCCACAGCAAACCCCATGCCTCAGCCACCTTTCCCCAGCTCCTGCGTCCCCTCTGTCTCTGCAGGCACATGGCGAAGGAGGGGCAGGACGGCAGCCTG